GGGGGGGGGGGGGTCGAAATGATACCCCCGGATTACTGGAGCCGGCTAATGACTGTTTTGGGGACTATGACATAACCGCCGCGTGGGAACCGAATGTGTGTGAAAGAGAGATTAGGACGATGAGGCGTAATTTCCCCCAACCTTTGTGGGGATTAGAGCGCAGGTGAACATGTACACAGAGAGGATGCAGGAGGCTTTGTGCGGAGGTAGAGATGCTCAAGTGGGTTCTGGGTCACGTGAGCTGACGAGTGTAGTTTCCTCCTTCCATTAACATCTTGTATAATGGAGATCAATTAGTGGAGAGCATCTCCTTTAGGACACAGCTCTCCTCCCATCACTCACTCACTCTCTGTTTGTCTGTCTGTCCAAGGTCACATCTCCCTCATGCCTTTACTCTTTTTAGACTCTATCTATTAAAGTGCTGACATTTTGTCTTTTATAGACTTTTCGGCCGTCTTTCGTTGAAGTCTGATTGCACCGTTATGCTTTCATCTTTCAGGGCGCTCCCCCCATTTTCGAGAGCCTTGTGCTCGGTGCGATTTATATCGTTTTTGGGTGAACTGTTCCTTTAACTACTCCTTACAGCTTCTTTCAGCCATGACAGCATATTTAAAACGTTATGATAGCGAGGAAGAAAAGACTCTCTCTGGCTGCATCACTGATGGATTTTAAAACTTATTCTGCTACTTAAGCATTAATCAATGTCCGTCACCTCCACATCAGTTTCATCATTTTGTAACATAATATCCGACAGTGCACAAGCAGTGAATAACAGGACGTGGAGGTGGCACTTTAATTCTTGTTCCCTCACATCCTTTATGTAAAGCGCTTCGCTGGATATTCATTTATTCTGGCATGAATGATCATCATAGCGAGAGCGCGCTGGTCGGATTATTTCTGTGGTTGTGTGATTCTTTTTCAACTTCTTTTGCACTGCGAGGAGAATTAGTCCTTCACAGCATGTACAAGTTTATTAAAGCGATTCTGTGCACTTTGATGGTAACACATCTACCACGGTGATCTTAGAAGGCAGTAAAACGAGCATGCAATCTTCCCGTCTCTCGCCTTGCGTATACACGACTTTTATGTAAAAGCTACCAGTACCTAATTTAGTAAATTATGGTCCATTTAGAGTCAAATAGACCATAAAGCAGGGTATGCTTTAGGGCGTGGCTACACGGTGATTGACAGGCCGTCACTAATCCGTCGTCCAAATACAGTGACAAAACCAAGATGGCGATGACCAAAATGCTAAACTCAAGGCTTGAAAACCGCAATCCACCAACCAATGGGTGACGTCACGACAACTTCGTCCACCTCTCATATTCGGCCTGTGCTCAGGACTGAAAACAAGAGGCACAGTAATGACTGGAGCTGCAAGTAACAATCACTTTCATTACAGATTAATCTGCTTGATTGATTTCTCTATAAGAGAAAGAATAGGCTGAAATGACACTTATCATTTCTAATAATTCAGGGGAAATCAGCTTATTTCTGTATATAAAGCAGATTGCTTTGTCAGAAAAAGGTACAGTCGACTTCCATGAAAGTTGATATTTGCACACTGGAGATAAAACAAAGAAAGATGCAAACGAATTACAGACTTTAAATTTGACTGTGTAAACAGAGACTATGTAACGTGACGGATTAAATAAAACTACACATTCTCCCACTTTCCACGTGTGATGGAGTGCATGAGTGTGTGGGAGGGCAGTTCAATCTACCAGTCGGTTTAACAAAACCTCTCTCTCTCTGCTTCTGAAGATCACACAGCAGTGTGAGCTGAACTCCTGCTTTTGCATTCACCCACGCTGAAGCAGCGAGCAATCACAGGCGGAGAAGTCGTGCTCCATCACGTACCTGCAGGATGAGAACGAAGTAGTCGACGGGCTTGCCCCTCTGGTAGACGTAGTGATGGGGCGAGCGCTTGTCGCCGTCGTTGAACTTGATCTCCTGGATCACGTTGGGGTGGCGCAGGATTCGCAGCAGCACCTTGTCCGAGATCTGAGACGGGCTGAACAAGCTCACCTCTGCGAGAAGAGAGAGGCGAAAAAGGGCGTAAATAAAAACCTTTTTACTGCACTACAACATAATCATTAAAAGAAAGAAAGATTCTAGAGATGCACCAACATCATTCTTTGTGCCGAGTGCTATTCACTGATCCGAGTGTCTATTAAATGAGTCATTCGTGCCTTTGTCTGTAGTACAAGACAAACAATTAAATACTGTAAACCAGAGTGCCAAGTACATCGGTCCTACAAAGGATGATTGTAGCGCAACATGTTTCTAGACATGAACTTTGCTTTGACAACCCGAGTTAATTCAAAGCATTCAACGTATCGAGTACAACTCAAAAGTACATTCATGAATCTTGTGTTTTTAAGTGACATAAATGTACATTACATGACTTTATGATGAGTACAAAGTACTAAAAAGAACAGAAACATTGAATTATATCCTGGCTTGCTTTCTGTGACGTATCATAATACTTTATAATTGCTGACATTTGTTTGGGCAAGCATTATTGTATTTATTTATTTATATATACATATATACATATATACATATATACATACATACACACACATATATATATATATATATATATATATATATATACACACACATTCTGAAATGACATAGATTCATCGAACAATATTGTTTTTCATAGACAAAATATTGATGAGCAGATCATTCAATCTGAACAGAACCAACTGGTGACATGTGTTTGGTTTACATGCACGTCTCAACTGTTGCAGGCCAGGCCGTCGCAATCGGAGCCCCAACTATAAATAAGTGCCTTCGACCCCACCCAGACTGAGAACAAAGACACGGTTCACCCTGCAAACAAAACCCTCTGCAGCACACAGTGAGGGGTGAGGCATGCACGACCAATGTTCAAATTCGTCATCGAAAAAGGCAAACAAAGTCCTTTCACTGCGGTTTACATATTACGCGAACGAGTTCACCAGGTTTACAATTAATTTTAAAAAAGGAACTGTGAGCTTCTGCTGGGATTAAATGTTCCAGGACGGCTCAACGATTTCCAAATCACTTTCACAGCTCGTACATTTTGATATCTTCCTGGTTTCTTAATGTCTTTTTTTTCCAGATAAATATAAATCATACAGACTGACGGGGCTTGCTGTTGCAAAACACATATCTGCTCAAACTTATCTACTGAAGCATTAGTTTGCACATAACAGGAATTTGATTTGTAATTGGTGCATGACAATAAACACAGTGCAACAGTATAAATATAATAAATATAAAATATAAAATATAAAAATGTACAATAGAATAGGATAAACAAACAGTGTGAGAGCAGGTTAAAAGATGTCTGGTATTAAAGTGTTAAGTGTCTATTTAAAGTGTACATTATGAAAACTTTAAAGACTCTCTCAAATATCAGTGATACTCCAGAGAGCCCACATCAGATATCCACAGAGTTCAGACACAATAAGAAGAGCTGGTTAAAGATCGTTAATGTGAACAAGAACAACAACGAAATAAAAGGAACAGAAACAGGAGAGCAGTAACTTCCTGGACCCAAAAAAGGAAAAATCCGATTCCTGTGTAATGAGTCAGGACAGAAAAATGAAGCCGTCATCATCCTGAGGAAAAAAGAAACAGAAACAGCAGACAGTGACGTTATCCCATCATGCAGAGGAATGAGATTCTGCCGGGCTCTCCCACCACAGCGCCTGTGAGAGGAGGAAGAGCTACGTCATGCTAGCAGCTACTGCTAACACACTCCTGGCAGAGCACATCCGCTCACGCTCGCCAACCGGGCGGATTTCAACACGTTCTCCAGTGATTTGCAGCAGTGTCGAGGCGGCGCGTCCAGCTGGCAAAGGTCCAGAGTCTTCTTGTGGCGGTGACCAAACAGCCAGGCAGACTGCTCGGATCCTAAATAGACCTTCCAAGTAAACAAACGCATGTAAACCTCCTCCCGGCCTGTGTGGACCTGCATGCTTGTCAGATGGGCGAGATGACAGAATCATATTCATGTTGTGGTTCCATATCAAAGACATATGTTTAGTGGTGGAGGGAGTATTCAGATCCTTTACTCAAGTAAAAGTACTACTGCCACACTGAGAAAATACCGTAGTACAAGTAAAAGACCTGCAGTCAAAACCTTAGGAACCTTAGGAAATACGCAAGTTAAATACAAGTACCTTTAAGTACAGTTGGTTTACAAGTTATAATGATCTACTGGCTGCGTGTTAGTAATACTGCGATGAGTGTGTGTGTGTGTGTGTGTGTTTGTGAGAGTGTGAGAGTGTGTGTGTGTGTGTGTGTGTGCGCGTGCTTCCATCAGTCTGTTTCCCACCTGTAGCCAGGAAGCGATGGGCGGCCAGCAGCAGCTGAGGAGAGATCTTCACTTTTGATTCGCTCTCGCCTTTGAAGGCGGAGAAGTCTCTCTTATTCTTATTGGGCACCACCTTTTTCCTGTTGCGGTTATCAGCTGAGAAGTGACAAAAACACAGACAGACAGACAGACAGACAGACACACACACACACCAAAAAAGAAAAAAGTTATGTCTAAAGACCTCAAAATTATTAATACAAGTAAATAAATACACAACCGTTCAACAGTTTGGAATCCTCTGACACAATAAGCTTGATTCAGTGACTCTCTATACGTCTGATCGGTCTCTGCTGCTTTTAGGTTGTACAACGTCCTCTTTACAAATACATCTATTGTGTGTGAAGGATTTCTTTTGTACGTGTAGAACAAAACGCTGTACAACGGTTCAACCAGACTGACAACTGAAGAGCAGAAAGAGACAAAGATGAAATCTCCAGTCATTGGTGAAAGAAGAAGAAGAAACTGGAGGCTTATCATTTAAAAAGGAGCAGGTTCCTGAGTCAGTGTCAAGTGTTTCACATTTAAAGCAGCCTTTAACAGCTGCTCTTCAGACTTCACAAGATAATAAGTTAGTGTGGGTTAGCGGCATTATTGGAGTATCAGCTGAACATAACGTGAACTGATAAATCACAGTTAAACTTCTTCAATCTAACCACCCAGTGGACTGCAGAGGGACAAAGAAAAGTGAACATTTAGAGCCCCGTTTCACTGTTGTGGTTCAATAAAGATTGAGGGTCACTTACACTTTTCTGAACTTTTCATTCTCCTTCTTTTGACGCCAAAACTACTTAAAAGGTGAATATTATACCGTTTTATTTGTTTAAATAGTTATAATCAATGATAAAGAAGAAAAACATAAACAGAACACCTTATTTTAAACTTTTAAACGGTGGTGTAACAAAGACCGAGATGTAAAATGATCTTCACTGACAGTAAAGAGACGCGATAAACAAAAGCCAAACTCACTGTAAAGGTCCGACTCATCCAGAATCTCGGATTTGATGATCTCCTCGATGACGTCTTCCAGGGTGACCAAGCCCAACACCTCGTAGAAGGGATCTCCCTCCCCCTCGTTGTTCACCTTCTGCACGATGGCCAGGTGGGATTTCCCTGAAGTGGAACAAAGAGAATCATGAGTGGGGGGGTTTTTAGCTGATTACGTCATCCGTTAGTACACAAGAAGGAGAGTTTTTAAGAACAGGACCCCGATTACTCTTCTGTATATGTACATTCTACCAATATATCAGCGATCTACCGCATGTGTATCAACACATCGAGCACGAGGGTGATGGGATGTGCAGTTGCATCAGTTGGTGGAAGCGTCGTGAAAGTAGAAGATGAATAAATAAACAGAAAGAGACGAGGAGAAGCAGATGTAAGCCGAGCCGATATCTTTCTGTTGAATTAACTGTGGCAGCCATCGCTTCTTTATGTGCTTGTTCCTTTGGGTCATTTTGGGGGAAAAAGCTGCAAATGAATGAGCAGAACTGGTTCATTTTTTTTATTTTTTAAATAATTAAATTCAATTGATGAACCAGAAATAAACCAATACGAACATTTATCCATAAACAACGTCTCTGGATTGATTATCCATAAAAATGCATCACTATATAAAACGATATACTGTGACGGAGGATTGTATCTCTATTTCAATGCTTACTTCTATAACGCAAGATTCACAGCTTGCAAATAAAGTTTTATTTGCAAATGTTTCATGAGATAGGGAATACACTGAACTGGATTTGTTGGCCATTACGGACACATACGGGTTAATTGGGGAGAAACATTCAATGTAAACAATGAAAAACATACACAGCAGACCTTTAAATGTCTATTCTAATATAAACACGGTCAACCACAACAGAGAAATGTGGGAACAGATGCTTGTCCAATGAAAACAGGTGAAGCAGACAAAGCACTTAATAATAATATAACGTCTTTAACGTGACAACAGTTAGTGAACCAGGAATTGAGGGTGAACACGATAACTAATAACACGAAAGTATCACATAAAACACGAACACAAAGAATTTAGCTTGGTTACTGTAATAAATCATTTATTCTTTTATGTCACAGTTTTGTTATTAAGCGGACATAAAACTGCTTAGTATCTTGTCACTAAAAATGGCAACCCTGTTTTTTAGTTTCAGCAACTAAAAGCTGATGCCTGGTTCCCAGAATGACAACAAACAAAAAACCCCAGAATCAAAGCAGAGCTGAAGTTGATAACAAACTGAAAATGTACTGCGGATATCAACATCAAAGTCATGTCAGATGCTTCAACGTTGCCTCAGCGTTATTCTACATCTCCTTAAAAAATGAAACAGCGTACAACATGACGAGCCTTTAAACTCCGTATACTCGTAGCACGAGCCTCCGCAGATGGCGTTCGAGCTACGAGCGCTCGCAAAGGAGTTCATGTCCGTTGCATTATTCTCCGAAGCACAAGACAGCGTACGAAGAAGAAGAAGAAGAAGACACAGAGTGTCAGCGGTCCACAATGCAGAGGAGGATATTGTAACTATCTGTGAACTCATATCTCACACGGCAATGAAAAGAAACAAGTCAAGTTTTAGTCAAGGTCATTTTCTGGTGCCTTGACCTCACGCCGGCTCCACTACGAGCTTCATAGTCATGCTTACAAAGTTCAGAATCTTTCAGCACATTATGTTTTGCAGAGCTGTGGCTGCTAACCATCTCTTTGCAATCTATTTATTGATATTGAGGCATATTTGCACAATAACTGTTGGGTTTTTAATAACATTACAGCTGCCGGACTCGTGGCGTCACGTTTGTGTGTTCACCACAAACCTGGCCGAGACGCCCCATCATTCACACAATCGTATCACGATGGACTCCCGTCTGAAAGCAGCTCTGTTCTCACAAACAGCCTGTTAATGAGTACAGGTCGTTACAGTTTGGGGTTGGGTCTGGACTTTGGCCATGAGCGTTACCGTACAACACACATGTATACACCAAGACACACACACAGCTGAACTCTTCACATGACAAACTGTTCAAAGTACAGATGGACGCACCCAAGAGGACATCTGAGGGTTTGGTCCATCATTTTCTCCCCTCCACCCAGACAAAACGTATGGGAATACACACGTAAGCCACTGGTTTAAGCTACACACACACACACACACACACACACACACAGCTAAGATATTGGATTTGAAATGTAGGACGGGTGAGATGTTTTGGCATCCCATTCTCCCCCGAAACAAAGAGCCATTAAGGTGGCGATGAAGCATGAAACAAGAGAAGAAGAAGACGACGCAGAGAGAGCGGGAAATCCTAAAAAAAAGGTCCATTGACGGCCTTCGTTTCCAAAAGCAGAGCAGAAGATCAATGGGATTTACAAAGAGCTCATATGACCACGCAATTAAAAGAAGACCGAAGCCTGTGAGTGTTTCTGTTGTGTGTCCTTGATGTCTGCCTGAGTGTCCTGGCAAAGTGGGCACGATGAGATCTCTCTCTCTCTCTCTCTCTCTCTCTCTCTCTCTCTCCCTCTCCCTCTCTCTCCCTCTCTCTCCCTCTCTCTCCCTCTCTCTCCCTCTCTCTCTCCTCTCTCTCCCCTCTCCCCCCTCCCCCCTCCCCCCTACGTGAACAGCGCGGAGGGACTTTGAGGAATCCATTTCCCACAAGGCCTGGGAGCCTGTGGGAGCCTGTGATGTCACGCCGTGAGAGGTCGGATGATGCACTGTATATTTAGTCTGGGCGCTCGAGAGGAAGCAGCAGCGCTGGACGTTCACACACGAATCAAACAGTTCTTATTACGACATGAGGGCATTTTAAGTTCACGTACCCAGGATCTGTTAACCAATAAAATATCCGACAAGTGAGAAACTTCCCAGCAGAAACTGGTGTTTTTAAACATCTTACTTTGTCTGACAAAAAGTCATTGATAAAGAAAAAGAGGAGAGGCAAACCGACCTTTGAGCTTGAGAAGCTGTGAACAGCAAAAGTTTGGTATTTTTACTAAATTAATGGCTTTTACGAGTCGATCAACGGATGTAATTAATCAAGTTATTGTTAAAGCGCAACATGGGGTTCAGTGTCTTGCTCGAGGACACTATGTAGACTTAGTGTCCTCTTAAAACCCTAAAATCCTCAGGAGGCACATCAGGACGTAGGTCACATGAGGAAGGAGTGGCATGATTTCATGGCACGATGGAGAACTTTAGTCAACGGTGTCCTGCAGCAAGAAAGCCTCCGAGCGCATTCATTAGCCGATTGTTGTTCATTCCACACGAGATCACTGTAGCAACAAAAATAGAGACATCATGTCATGGAAAAGGCACTCTGTGTGTGTCTGTGTGTGAGAGAGAGACCTCTCCCTGTGGTGCTGAGTCAATATTTCAGAGGAAGCAGGACCCCGGGAGACATACTTACCCCCAGTTACTGGAGAGTCACTTGAGAGTCTATTGGCTCCTTCAGAGCGAGCGAGCACACACACACACACACACACACACACACACAGTACAGGCTGCTTCATGCATTCAGTGTCTGACCTGTGTCCGCAGAGTTTATAATTAAAACAACCCCACAGAGCGGCCGAGGTCCTGTGTGTCAGAGACGTGTGTTTCGGGGCTCACACAGAAACACACACAGCTGTCACTTATCAATGTGACAGGACAGTGGAGATATATATTTTAGAAATACGAAATCCGTCCCTCCATCCATCGCTCATCCGTTCTACACGCTGTGAGCCACCTCGAGTGCTTCTCTCTGACGTCACTTTTTAATATCAGCCTCTTTAGATTACTAATCCTTCATTAACTGATCTCAGCTTTATTGTTTTTTTATATACGGGTATGTTTTGGATTTGACTTGGATTCACTCGAGGTGAACTTGAAAGTCAAAATAAAGTGTCAAAGCTACAATGAAGGGCACTGATTGAGCCTCGTAGTTTACCAATGTGCCTTTCATTCACACACAGATAACTGTGACAGTGTCCATCAAAATGTCCTAATAGCAGGAAGTGAAGTCATCAAACTGCTTGTGTTTCATCTGATTAAACAGTCCTAAAATAAAAAAGTGTTGCTAATTCATTTTCTTTCAATTAACTCATCGTTTCAGCTCTAAATCTTTCTCTCTCCATCTATCTACCTATTATGTTTTAATGATCATCCGAAGCATTTTGTGCTTAAAAAGACCACAGATTTCATCCATAACTATGACACTACGTGAGAGCGGAGAAGAACACTTTGCGGAAAAACAGGAACCGAGAAACACGATGACCTTTAGTCACAAACAATAAACTCATCTGAGCTTCAGGCTGCAGGTCCTCTGTTCTCTGACAGAGCTCACAGCGCAGCGTTCACCGGGAAATGAACACGACACCCTCAGCATTTCAGCTTTTCTGGGTGAGGTAGTTGTTTTTAGTTCAGGTTCCTCGTCGGACTACCTGCTCACGGCTTTAAACGTGTTTCAGACCATCATACACTCAACAGATGTACTCCCAGCAGGTCGGGTGACCTTGCAGTCTGTTTCTCTGCCCTGTGGCTCTTCCGTCACCGGCCTGTTTGTTGACATGAAACATCGGCGACAAAAGGCCGAGGGGGGGGGGGGGGGACCGATGAGTCTGTATGGGAAAGGAATGCCATGCCACGCATTCCGCCCACGCACAAAAACCCAACCGGCACGGACCACGGCCACCGACCGCAAAGCATGCGTATCAGATTCATCACCGATTGTTTTAGAAACAAAAAGGACGTCCCGGTATCGATCCTCGATCACCAGCAGAGGTGGTGACATGTTAAGTTTTAGGCTGAATTCAGAATAACACTGCAGGAAAAAATAGTGTTGGTGTGGACGTGCTGTTGAAGAGTTTCAGTGAGGCGATGAAATATAAACCAGGTTTGAAGGTTTAGACACCAAAACAGTGCACAGCATTATTCACCTGTGAGTCAGGAGTTCAAGACTCCTGCACCAATCTCAAATATTATTTTCATTGTCGCAAATCTGTCAACTAAAAATATAGTCTGCAGCCTTGTAGTCCAGCTGCTATATCAAAACTAAACAACCTGTATGTGCCAATGTGGATCGGCAATGATCGGCAATTAGTATTGGCTGCAAAAAAGCGTAATCGGGGATCTCTAAGA